GGGCTGGCCTCGGGCCGCGGGAGTTGCTACCGGGTCTCTTTGGCGCCCCATGCAAGCAGGACAATTAGGTCTCGATTTTATCTTCCTGGGGGGGGGTGATCGAAAACGAGGGGAGGGGGGGTTATTTCCTGAATGTTTCCAAGTCGAGTTTAGTCAATTTCCAGCGCCTATTGAACTCGGGGCTCCATCTGCACGTCTTGGGAACCCCGATGGCTCCGCTAAAAGGGCTTGCGCACCCTCCGACCTCTGCCCTCGAAGTTCCCAAATGAAGCCGGCTTTGGGGGCGAGGGAGATGGCAGGCAGCCCTTGCTACTCGCCCCTGGAGCAAGGGCTCAGAGCATCCTGCGAGCGAAGGAGCAGCGATGCAGCAAATTGAATCCCGCTTTCCCCCCGAATTATAAACATGGCAGGGTGGGGGGGACCGGTGCAAATTACACGATCGGCTTTTGAAAGACACATTTATCCGTGAATAAATCCCCCGCTCACAATAGACCGCTCGCAACAATGGGAAGAATCTCTTATCATCCCCGTATTACCATGGTTTCGTTTTGCGGCTGCAACTTTCTGGCTGCCTAGCAAACTTGTCATTGGTGCACTCGGGAGAAATTCTCATCTGCTGTTTTCTGGCTTGGTTTTGTTTCAGTAAAAGCAGATGCGACTGATTTTTTTTTTTTAAAGCAGACAACTTTTTTTTTTTGCACTCAGGAAAAATTGCTCCATTTTCACGCTATCGGTTGCTTCCTGCGTACATCCATGCATTAGGATTGCCAAGGGTTAATAGGCAAACGATCCGAGAGACCTGGCACGTCCATCAAACATGCATCCCTTCGTGGTGATGAGTTTTGGTTTTGGTTTTCTTTTCTTTTTTTCTAAAAAAGAACAGGCTTGTCAATCTCATCATATTCCCGGGACCTTTAGGCTGCAAACTCTTGGAGAACTCTTTGGATGCCAATTTCTGCCTCTCAGACTTTGCTGGAGTCTTTAAAGCATAGGCGGGTACAAAAAAATTATACTCCACAAATGAAATTGACAAGCCCAGAGTCCGTGTTTCACACGAGAGTGTACAAATCAGGCTCACTGTTTGTTTTCATGTGTTTGTAATTTCTTTTTTATGGATGCATTTGTGAAACTCTTGTACCCAATGGAGGACATTTTATTTTAGCTAGAGCTAATTTAGAAATCGGAGGGGGGGTTGTCTGTGTTGACATCACCTATTATAAGCACCATGGCAAATAAGAAAAACAAACGGAGAGAGAGAGAGAGAGAGAGAGAAATCACCCGACTGACAGCGGAAGAAAATGTGCAGCAGGCGTTCTAAATACCAGAGGGGAACCGAAAGAAACTGGAGCTGTTCTATAGAGGGGGAAATTTTGTAGGTCCTTTCAGGAAAACGATGAGATTTACATGTAAATAAGCAACAGGCAACACTGCAAAGGGGGGGAGGGGGATGCTGGAATTCTGAGTCGCATATTCCAGGTGGACATGGATTTCGTTGCCTTTTAAAAGACACTGGCAGCAGAGAGAGAGGTAGAAATACCATCTCTCCGGAGTTAAACAAGGACGCAACTATTATAGCATCCCAGAAAAGGACATTGCAGTGACCGGTGCTAAGAATCATCTGAGTTCCGTACAGCAGTTCATGCCCATGTAGTAAGATCCCAGAAGACAGTGTGAGCCGAGGCAAATGGGATGTTTAAGTGTAACAATATGATGGATATAGGACATGTAGAGGCTGAACCTCTCTAGTTCAGCAACACCTGTGGTCCGGCATGATTGCAGTTAGCTGGATGTTCACTTATCCTGGGGGTGGCCAAGTTTCCTGCAGCCCCGTAAAGTTTGTTTACACCCACCAGTCCTGGCTTTCAGGGTTCTGTGCTGTTCTTTAGCTCTAATTTACCCCTAAAAGTCTTAAGAGCCCAGTTAGCAGTGTATGTGTGGGCAATGCTGCTAGACAATATTAACCTCTCCTGGTCTGGCAAATCCAGAGTACAATCCCTTGCTACTTCTGGTTCAGCATCAGTCAGTTTCCAAGGGCGTTTACCTCTCCTGGTCTGGCAAATCCAGAGTACAATTCCTTGCTACTTCTGGTTCGGCATCAGTCAGTTTCCAAGGGCACCACACTAGAGAGGTTCAACCTGTACAATGTATATGAAGCTTACAAAATCCAACATGCCCTTTCACCCTGGGGAATGATTGTTTTTCACCAGTGAGATCAAAGATGCATCATGATAGTAAAAGGGACGGGGATAAACTCTGGGCCTGGATTGAGCATTTTCGTGGCATTGTTGCAAAGCTGCTCTGTCCCTTTAGTGCCGAGACCCCGATCCTGCAAAGGGCTTTTATTCCCATGATTAATTTCACCTCTGGGAGAATTCTATTGTCTAAACCGGTGCCACTTCTGTGTCGGTGCTTCGGGATTGTGCCCTCACATGCTACAGTGAAGACAGTGCTACAGAAAACCCACCGTGTCACCGGAGGGAGGGTGATGAAAATGCTGTGGAATTGGCCTCATTATTAGGGCCGATTCAGAGCTCTGTTTACACCCTTGTAAATCTAGAGAAAGGCCGTTGGAGTCAATGGAGCCACTGCAGATTGACACTGGTGTGGCCGAAAACAAGAGCCGGCTAGTTGTCTACAACCTTAGAAAGCCGTTTGTACCAAAGCAGGTACAAGTAAGACCAAGAGCTTAGTCCTGCAGACTCTACCTCCTGGCTGAGGATCAGCACTAACCCATACTCCTGTGAGCAAAGCTACGCAGAGTTTGCGGTGTCAAGCCCTAAAATTATCTTTATACCTTCATTCGCTGTGATACTTTGTGGTCATCATTTCCCTTTGCACCGTTCAATTGTCCCTCTCACCCTGTTGCTGTTTTCAAAGGTCTGCTGTAGACCCCGCTGGATTTTTGTTTTTCCAAAAGAAGCCCGTTTTTTCAGGCTAGAAGAGAAAACGCCCCACATCTGTATCACAGGGCAGATGCATTACAAAGTGATCAAACAGAGCTACAATATCCCAAGACAGAAATGTCCTACTTCCTTCAGAAACACTTACATTAAAATGGGAATATTTCCTTTTACAGTAATGTATCTTTAATGCAACTAAATATATCTGGGATATATCACTCATGCAACTGATCCTAAAATTGCATCAAATGTACTTATTTTGTTCCAATTTTCTTCCAAAATGGAATCTCAGCTTTCGGTAATGTATGGCGTACTCTAATCACTCCTCAGTATAGAACTCAGCAAAGGTACTTAGCATGAAAGATGCTAAGCAAAGTAAATTATATTGAACCTGGTAGCATTTTTATCAGGGTGAATGCTTTTCTTTTCAGTTGCTAAAAGGCTTTCATATACAAAAGCTGCTGGAAGAGAAGTGATCTTTTAAAATAAGCAAAAACAAATAAGGTGGGTTAATTTTTGATTCACTTTTTTTTTACTGTGAGAGATTCTAATGCAATCAGTTTGTCAAGATGACGCTTGATAATGTAACTTTGCATATATTGTCCTGTGACTGAAGCAAGCAAATCCCATTAGAAAAATGGAATGAAAAACTGATGGGATAAAAAACCATTTAATGCGGAATGGAAAATCTTGCCCCTGGTGCATAATAATAAAAAACCCCCACAACAACCTCTGTTTGCAATGTGATGGACTGCCTCTTGTTTAAAACAAGATCAGGTCAGATTTAAATGGCCCTGAAGGTTGGAAAAGTTTGAAGTTGGGACAGAACTTTGCAGGAGGGGCACCTTGCTACTTTAAATAATTGTGAAATCCATTCCCAACCAAAATAATGGCGTGATTCCTGTATCCCCTTCAAAGAGAGTTAATTCTCAAAAGTTTCTCAGAACATGAATATATTTCTATTCCCCCAAGAATTTGGTAGAAAATTAGTCATTTGGTTTCTCACATCCATATGTTCTCTTGCTTGTTGCACTCTTTGATTAGCTGTGGTTTTGGCGTTCATTTGATTAATTTAACTTACTCTCTTTACTGTATATGCCAATACTGGACCTCTCAATTGTACATGACTGAGTACATGCCAGGTATTTACTTTCCAGAACCATTAAGTGTCTCCTCACTTTTATTGTTAAAATGATTTAGCTCAGAAATCACCTGCCATGAAACTGAGATTTTAAAGAGACCCTTTACACCTGAAGAAGGAACCTCAAATCATTTTAAGTTTCCCGCATGCCTAATTTTTTTTTCATAGCCCTTCATTTGGGGGATTTTGTCCCCCACTCAGCTGTTGAGAGGCAGGACTGGCCATGAGAATGTAACAGAATCAAACCCCATGCCAACCCCTATTGGATGTAGAACCTTCAGACACCCAAAACAGCCCTGGCATAGAAAAGTG